GGACCCCCGCCATAGTTGCCACCATCACCAAATCCATTATATCCACCATCACCTCCTCCATAACTACCTCTGCTGCCACCAACTCCACCACCATAACCTCCTCTTCCACCAAAGTTTCCACCACGGCCAAAATTACCTCCACCACCTCCAAAGTTTCCTCCACGACCCATAAAATTGCCAGATCCACCTCCACGACCTCTCTGTGATCCAGCAGACTGCATCTCTTGTTTAGAAAGGGCCTTTTTCACTTCACAATTATGCCCATTAATAGTATGGTATTTCTGAACAACAATTTTATCAACTGTATCATGATCATCAAAAGTTACAAAAGCAAATCCTCTCTTTTTTCCACTCTGCCTGTCTTCCATAACTTCTATGGTTTCAATCTTGCCATACTTTTCAAAGTAGTCTCTCAAATTATACTCTTCTGTATCTTCTTTAATACCACCAACAAAAATTTTCTTCACCGTTAGATGGGCACCAGGGTTTACAGAATCCTCTCTAGAAACAGCTCTCTTTGGTTCCACTACACGCCCATCAACCTTGTGTGGTCGAGCACACATAGCTGCATCCACCTCTTCAACACAAGAGTAAGTCACAAAACCAAAGCCCCTGGAACGTTTGGTTTGCGGATCTCTCATTACCACACAATCTGTAAGTGTGCCCCATTTCTCAAAATGTTCTCTTAAACTATCATCTGTAGTTTCAAAGCTCAGACCACCAATAAACAGTTTTCTCAACTGCTCTGGTTCCTTTGGATCATGGCCCTCCTCCCCCCGGCGGCGACGGCAACGGCCGGAGTCGGGCTGGGGGCGACCGGGCGGCGGTTTTACCTCCATTTTGAGACCGGACTCGCCTCTTCCAACTCGAGTTCAATATGGGACCGAGAGGAAGAGGCGGGGCCAGTCGTCACGTGACGCGTTTCTACTACCCCTTCTTCTTTCATGTTTTACCAATGGCAGGAATCTTTGTGATTCTTCGAGGGATGTGACAGTGCTTTTCTTATTTTGGAGTAGAGTCTCATTGTTAGGGTGCTCCAAAGTCTTGCACTTGGCCTTTTCTTACCATAATAGGCTTCCTAACTTATCAATTAAGAGTTTTGAGGAGAAGCTATTAGTTTTTGTCTAGCTAATTGAGATTCCATTCAGTCTATAGACACGGAGGAGGTGTGTATTATGTAATACTAAATAGTTTTACTGCTTAAATAAGCCCTTTAAATTAGGGCTAAAGTGAAAGCAGTATAGCCTTTTTTTTTAATTTGGACCATTTCTTCAGAAAAAAAATTCTCAAAACTGAATTACTTTGCTTAAATAATGTATGCCTTTTGATGGTTACTAATAAATGTTTTCAAATTGCTTCCCTGAAGGCTTTACATCTCCATACTACTTTGGAATTAGAATTCTGTAAGAACTCTTAAGTGATTGGGAGTATGTGCTCTAGAGTTGTACTGCCTAGGTTCGAATCCCAGCTTCTCCGTTTACTACCTTTGTGCCCTTGAGTAAACCTGTTTGCACTAAGGTATCCTTACCTATAAAATAGAGGTGACAGTACCTACCTCTTGAGAGTTAAAAGAATCAGTGGATAGTAATTGATACATACATAAGTTTGTACTTAAGTGTCCTAAGGTTTAAATTTTCACAAAGAACATACACATTCTATAATTAGTTATAATAGCTTTAGTTTATTAAGAATTTTATATTTTTATGTTAACAAAAATTTACTGGTTTTGCCTTTATGACATGTGTATTTTCTTGCTTAAGAACATTTTCCTTAGGCTGGGTATTGTGGCTCACTCCTCTAATCCCAGCACTTTCAGAGGCTGAGGTGGGCAGGTTGCTTGAGCCTAGGAGTTCAAGACCACCCTGGGCAACATAGTGGAACCCTATCTATATAAACAATACAAAAATTAGCTGGGTGTGGTGGCGAGCACCTGTAGCCCCCGCAAACCCAGCTCCTCAGGAGGCTGAGTGATAAGAGGATTCCTTGAGCTCAGTAAGCAGAGGTTGCAGTGAGCCAGGATTGCACCACTGCACTGCACTCTGGGTGACAGAGTAAGACTCTGTCTCAGAAAAAAAAAAAAAAGAATACTTAAGCAAGAGTTAATGTACTATCTGATGCTGTCTTTTAATGCACTCCTAGTTTTATATCATTAAAGATTAAAATATAAAGTAGAAAACAAGAAATACTATAAGGAAGACAGTATAAAAATATCAGTTCCTTAATGTATAAATTTAGTGCCGTTTCAGTCAGAATCTTAAGAAGGTTTTTAAATTTTGCAAGTTGCTACTAAACTTCCTTTGGAAAACTGTGTGGAAGAATTTCCTTTCTTTTTTTTTGGTGGGGGGTAGAGATAGGGTCTTACTATGTTGCATAGACTGGCCTTGAACTGCTGGGCTCAAGCTGTCCTCCTGCCTTGGCCTCTCAAAGTGCTGGGATTACAGGTGTGAGCCCCATGTTCAATCACAGTGCACTACAGCTTCTGACTCCTGGGCTCAAGTGATCCTCCTGTCTCAGCCTCCCAAGTAGCTGGGACTGCAAGCATGAGCGACTGCACCCAGCTTTTTAGGTATCATTTTTTTGTTTGCTTTGTTTTTTGGAGGCAAAGTCTTGCTCTGTCACCCAGGCTGGAGTATACTGGCATGATCACGGCTCACTGCAGCCTCAGCCTCCTGTAGCTGGGGTTATGGGTGTGGTGGTGCACAACTGTAATCCCAGCTACTCTGGTGGCTGAGGGATAAGAATTGCTTGAACCTGGTTGGCAGAGGTTGCTGTGAGCTGAGATGGAGCTACTGTACTCAAGCCTGGGCAACAGAGCAAGGCTCTGTCTCAAAAAAAAGGAAGGCTAGGCATGGTGGCTCACACTTGTAATCCCAGGACTTTGGGAGGTCAACGTGAGTGGATCACCAGAGGTCAGGAGTTTGACACCAGCCTGGCCAATATGGTGAAACTCCATCTCTACTATAAATACAAAAATATTAGCTGGGTGTGGTGGTGCATGCCTGTAATCCCAGCTACTAGGAGATTGAGACAGGAGAATCACTTGAACCCAGGAGGCAAAGCTGAGATCGTGCCACTGTACTCCAGGCTGGGTGACAGAGCGAGATTCCGTCAAAAAAAAAAAGAAAAAAAAAAAAAGAAAGAATTAATTGAGGGATATTTAAACTACCAATTATTAAAAAGTACTATAAATAGATTAATAGGATGAGTTCAGAAATAGATCTAAGGCAAAATGTAGTATATAATAAAGGTGACATTTCAAATGAATAGGAAAAGTATGGATTAGTCATCATTTTTAGGTCATTGCAAAATATCTCTTTGTTCATGTTAGGCTTTTGACCAAAAGTGTGACTTGAATAGCATTGCATCTAAGGATATTTATTTTTAGATTTGTTTTTCACTTGCCATTTTGTTATAGGTTATTTTTGTGAATGGCTAAATTACTTATATACTGTAGGTAAATTTTATTTTCTTTCTTTTATTCTTTTTTCTTCTTTAAGAGACGGAGTCTTGCTCTGTCGCCCAGTCTGAGTACAGTGGCATGGTTATAGCTCACTGCACAAGTGAAGCTCCTGCCTCCCCCTCCGAAGAAATTAGAACTAACAGATGCATGCCACCACACCTAATTTAAAAAAGTTAATTAAAAAAAGTTTTTGTTGTTGTTGTTGTTGTAAAGACAAGAGTATGGCTGTGTTCCCCAAGCTGGTCTTGAGCTCCTGGCCTCAAGTAATCCTTCCACCTTGGCCTCCAAAAGCACTGTGATTGTAGGCATGAGCCACTGTATCCTGCCAAGTTTTGTTTTTTAAATGTGCCTTAGAGCTCTTTCTGAGAGTTCATCTCATTTATTCATTCATATTTATTGTAGTAGAAGTTTTTTTTTTTTTTAATTTACTTCAACTTGTTTAAAAAGAAAGGGCATAGCCAGGCATGGTGGCACATGCTTGTAGTCCCAGCTGCTTGAGAGGCTGAGACAGGAGGATTGCTTGAACCCAGGAGTTCAAGGCTGTAGTATGCCTTGATCATACCTGTCAATAGCATGCACTCCAGCCTGGGCAACATATTGAGACCCTGTCGGGGAAAAAAAAAAAAAAAAAAAAAAACAGTTTTATCAAAAGCTAGTAAACACCCAAAATAATTGAAAGGGCTAAAGAAGCATGCAATATACTCTAGGCTGAGCTTCTAGGAAATAACTTCTGTAACCAGATTGCACAACTGGCTGGGCTACAGAGCTGTCCTTGCTATGATTTCTGCTAGCAAAATATACCTTCTTGCTGCTTTTAAAAAATTTTAAATATTATGAAATATATGTATAGAAAGGTCATAAAACATAAAATGTACACTTTAGTGAATAATTATAAACAGAACACCATTCAGTTTGGCAAGAGAACATTGTCTGCACTGTAGATATTTCTGTGTCCTTTCTGATCTCATATTTCTATCTCCCCCTAAAAAGCTACCTTCCTGACTTTTGTGATGAGAGTTCTGTAATGGTTTACTTGTTTTTCTTAACAGTTCTACCACTTTTCTCTAAACATGTTGGTTGTTTTTGAAGAAAACCATGCTGTATGTGTTCTTTTATCCAGTGCTTCTTGGGAGATTCTTATGTGTTTTATGTAGTGGTGTTCATTTTCACATTGAACAACTTGGGCTGTTGCCCATTTTTAGCCCTTATTAACGATGGTGCTTTGAACATTCATATGTAATTTTTAATTATTGTTTTAGAGACGGTCTTGCTATATTTCCCAGGCTATAAACTCCTGGGCTCAAGTGATCCTCCTGCCTCAACCTCCTGAGTAGCTGGTACTACAGGCATGCACTGCCATTGTTGACTCATGTATTTGTTTTATATGTATGTTAGTTTGTGGTATATACCTAGAAGGTAGTCAAAGAGTATACATATCTTTACCTTTACTAAGTAGTGCCTAAATGTTTCCTGAAATGTACCAGTATACATTCTCACAGTAATTGATGATAGTCCATGTTGCTGCGTTTTCTTAACCACAGTTCAATTGCTATTGTCAAACTTTTAAGTTATGTAGTCTCGTAGTTATGCAGTGCTATCTCATTGTGGTTTTAAATTAGTATTTCCCTAATGATTAAAGAAACTGAATACCTTTGCATGTTTTGTGGCTTTTTGGATTTCCTCTTTTGTAAAAGCCTTAAGCTTTTTGTCCATTCTCTTATTTGGGTAGTCTGTCTCATTGATTTGATTTGTAGCAACATTTTATGTATTCTGGATGCTTTTCCTTTGGTGCATGCGTGTGTGTGTGTGTGTGTGTGTGTGTGTGTGTGTGTATCCTCTTCCATTCTGTGAGTTCTTTTTTCGTTCCAGTAATGATATCTTCTGAAGAATAGACTTTTGTAGTTGCTTTTTAAAAAGATGTACAATGTGATGATTTTATATATGTATACATTGTGAAATGATTACCACAATCAAGTTGATTAGCACATCCATCACCTCACATAGTTACCTTTTTTTGGTGGTGAGAACAATCAAGATCTATTTTCAGCAAATTTCAAGTATACAAAACAGTATTAACTATAGTCTCTGTGTTAAACATTAGATACTAAGAACTTATTCTTCTTATAAAGGAAAGTTTGTACCCTTTGACCAACATCTCCCAAGCCCTAACCCCTGGCAGCCATCCTTCTACTTGTTCCTTCTGTGACTTTTTCTTTAGATTCCCCGTATAAGTAAGATCATACAGTATTTGTTTTTTCTGTGTTTGGCATGTTTCACTTAGCATAATGTCCTAAAGGTTCATCCTTGAGTTGCACATGGTAGGATTTCCTTCTTTTTTATGGCTGAGCGATATTCCATTGTGTATACGTACATATTCTTTATCCACTTATCTCTTGCTGGATACTTAGATTGTTTCCATATCTTGGATGTTTTGAATAATTCTGCAGGGACCGTTGAGGTACATGTATCTCTCTGAGAGACTGATTTCATTTTCTTTGGATATACATTTAGAGGTGCAATTCCTGAGTCATATGGTACTTATATTTTTATTTTTAATTCTATAATATCTTCCACAATGGCTATGCTAATTTACATTTCCATCAGCAGTGTACAAGTGTTCTCCCTTCTTCACATCCTTTCCAGCACTTGTTTACTGTTACCTTTTTGATAGTAGCCATCCTAACAGGCGTGAGGTTGTATCTCTCTTTTTTTTAAAATTTTTTTGGGACAGGTCTTGCTCTGTTGCTCAGGCTGGAGTGCAGTGGTGTGATCCTGGCTCACTGTAGCCCCAGACTCCCTGGGCTCAAGGGATCCTACTGTCTCGGCCTCCTGAGTTGCTAGGTTTGTGCTACCATGCCCAGCTAATTTTTAAATTTTTAGTGGACATGGGTCTCACTGTGTTGTCTAGGTTGGTTATAAATTCCTGGCCTCAAGCAATCCTCCTGCCTCATTGTGGTTTTGATTTGAATTTCCCTCATGATAAGAGATGTTGAGCTTCTGTTTATATACTTGTTGGCTCTTTGTGTGACTTCTTTAGCAAATGTCTATTCAGGTCATTTGTCCAGTTTTTATTTGTTTGCTTTTTTTTTTTTTTTTTTTTTTTTTTTTTTTTTTNTTTGCTGTTGAGTTGTAAGAGTTCCTTATATATTTTGGATATTAATCTCTTATCACATAGTGAAAGTTTATAAATATTTTCTCCTGTAGGTTGCCTTTTCATTTTGTTGATGGTTTCCTTTCCCATATAGAAGCCTCTTAGTTTGATGTAGCCCTCCTGTTTATTTCTGCTTTTGTTGCCATTTCTTTTGGTGTCATATTCAAAAAGTAATTGCCAAGACCATTGTCAAGGAGCTTTTCCTTATTTTTTTTTCTAGGAGTTTTATGCTTTTTCTTGTCTTCTCTTCTGTTGTCTTCTCTCTCTCTTCTCTCCCCTGCCCCTCCCCCTGCCCCTCCCCTCTCCCCCTGCCCCTCCCCCTGCCCCTCTGTTCTCTGGTGGAGTCTCGCTCTGTCCCACCCAGGCACAAGTGCAATAGTTTGATCTTGGCTCACTGCAACCTCCAACTCCCAGTTTCAAGCAGTTGTCCTTCCTCAGCCTCCCGAGTAGCTGGGATTACAGGAGTGTGCCACCACACCCCGGTAATTTTTGTATTTTTAGTAGAGACGGGGTTTCACCATGTTGGCCAGGCTGGTCTGGAGCTCCTGACCCCAGGTGATCTGACCACCTCAGCCTCCCAAAGTGCTGGGATTACAGGCGTAAGCTACCATGCCTGGCCTGAGTTTTATGCTTTCAAGTCGTACATTTCAGTTTTTAATCAATTTCCAGTTAATTTTTGTGTATGGTGTAAGACAAGGGTACAATTTTCTTTTGCATGTGGATATCCAGTTTTTCCAATGCCATTTATTAAAGACTGTCCTTTCCTCAGTGTGTTGTTGTATTGTTTTGTTTTGTTTTTGAGACAGGATCTCACCCTGTTGCCCAGGCTGGAGTGCAGTGACGCCATCTCCACTCACTGCAACCTCTGCCTCTTGGGTTCAAGTGATTCTCCCACCTCAGCCTCCTGAGTAGCTGGAACTACAGGTGTGCACGCCCGCCTAATTTTTGTATTTTTTGGTAGAGATGGGGTTTCACCATGTTGGCCAGGCTGCCGCAGGGTGTGTTTTTGGAGCCCTTGTCAAAAGATTAGTTGACCATATATGCGTGGGTTTATTTCTGTGCTCTCTTTTCTATTCCCTTGGTGTATCTTTATATCTCTACCATACTGTTTTGATTACTATAGCTTTGTACTACAGTTTTAAATCAGGAAATGTGATGCCTTTTAAGCTTTGCTCTTTCTCAAGATTGCTTTACCTATTTGGGGTTTTTTGTGGTTCTGTATGAATTTTTTAAAATTTTTTTCTATTTTTGTGGAAAATGTCATTGGAATTTTGATAGAGATTGCATTAAATCTGTAGATCTCTTTAGTTAGTATGGAGATTTTAACAATATTCTTGCAATCCATGGACACAGATTTTTGACATTTATTTTTGTCTTCTCTAAATTTTTTTCATCAGCATCTCACAGTTTGAGTGTACAGACCTTTCACCTCCTTTGTTAAATTTATTCCTAAGTATTTGATTCTTTTTGATGCTATTGTAAATAGGATTGTTTTCTTAACTTTTTTTGGGACAGTTAGTGAATAGAAATGCAACTGATTTTAGTATGTTGATTATGTATTCTACAACTTTATTATATTTGTTTATTCTTTTCTTGGGAATAAATTCCACTTGATTATGGTATATGATTTGTTTGTATTTCTTAAATAGGAGTCATAACAACAAGAACTAACATTTATTGAGCACCTTATTATGTGTCTGGTACTGATGCAGGTGGCTTTACATGTATTTATTTATTTCTATATCAAATAATCTGATAATTCTTGATTGCCTATACTCATATTATATGTATATATGTATGTGTATATGAATGAATTTCTGGCTTGCTCAATATTGATACCTGTTCTATTTTCTCTCAGCAGTTGTGGAGGTCATTATTTCATATATTCCAGGTAGCACTCTGCTGTGAGTGACAGGACATTCTGTATTGTGGGATATAATGAGATACACATGCTATTTTAGGGTATGAAGATGTGTTTTCAGAGTATATAATGGGGAAAAAAAAAGAACTAGTTAACCTGAATATATTAGAGAGTTGATCTTTGTAGCCATGAAAGTCATCTGGGACTCTGCCTAGTTTTTGTTGTTGTTATTTTGTTTCTGGTTTGTTGTTGTTGTTTTTGTTGTTGTTTTTTGAGACGGAATTTCCCACTTGTTGCCCAGGCTGCCCAGGCTGGAGTGCAGTGGCACAATGTGGGCTCACTGCAACCTCTGCCTCCCGGATTCAAGTGATTCTCCTGCTTCAGCCTCCCAAGTAGCTGCGATCATACAAGCATGTGGCACCATACCCGGCTACTTTTTGTATTTTTAGTAGAGATGGAGTTTTACCACGTTGGCCAGGCTGGTCTCAAACTCCTGACCTCAAGTGATCCGCCTTGGCTTCCCAAAGTGCTGAGTTTACAGGCATGAGCCACCATACCTGACCTATATCCTCCTTAGTTTTATTAGGCTCTATTTGTTATTCTACCTCCTTTTGAGAGTCTATCACACCCATCAACAAATTAGCATTTCCCTTAAAAGAGAGGTGTTACAGTTAGTGGCACTTTGGGAACTTAAATATTTCACCTTACTGTGTGGAGAGTTTAGACACTGACCCAGCTTCTGCAGTTTGAAAATTTATCTGCCAACCTCCTACCATCCATTCCTGCCCTCATCCTTTGCCACCCTGCTTTTTGAACTTTGCTGGGACTCTGTTAAAAAGGGAAGATTCATTTACTGTCTATTACTGATTGTCCTTTTTGCTTATGTTGGATTATAAGACTGCATTTTGACTTTTTTTCTTAACATAATTCTATTTGTTTAAACTTCCAGGAACTCTTCATCTTTGCTTATGACCTTTCTATGTGTTTCATAACTGCTGTGGACGTTTTCTTTTCTTTTCTCTCTTTTTTTTTTTTTGGGTAACTCGGGGTTTTTCCATGCTGGTCTCGAACTCCAAACCTCGGGTGATCCCCCCCGCCTCGGCCTCTCAAAGTGCTGGGATTACAGGCATGAGCCACTATGCCCGGCCAGACTTTTTGTAATATTTATGTTCTGTCCTTTCAGTGGGATTTCGGTGGGGAGAATATGTCATTGTTTGGACTTTGCCATCAAGAACTATAAGTTGTAGTTTGTTTAGTGTTACAGAATACTTTAGAATTGTTGAATGACAGTGAATTTAATTAAACAATATAGGGTTTGTAATTTAATATACAGGGATTCTGCCACTAAATATTTGAGTTATCTCAAGCAGTTTTCTTAATTATTCAAAGCATTGATATCCTTATCTGCAAGATGAGGAATAAGTAAAATAAATGAATGAATAATCCTATCTGTCTCATAAGTTTGTCACAAGCATTATTTGAAATAATACATGTAAAGCTCTTAGTATAGGACCTGGTAATAACTCAGTAAATGTTATTTGTTAAGTAGTGACTATTCAAAATAGTTACTTCAAAAACAAATCAAGCCAGGTGCAGTGGCTCACGCCTATAACCCCAGCACTTTGGGAGGCCGAGGTGGGTGGATCACTTGAGGTCAGGAATTTGAGACCCGCCTGGCCAACATGGTAAAACCCCATCTCTACTAAAAATAAAAAAATTAGCTAGGGATGGTGGTGGGCACCTGTAATTCTAGCTACTTGGGAGGCTGAGTCAGGAGAATCATTTGAACCTGGGAGGCAGAGGTTGCAGTGAGCCGAGATCACACCACTGCACTCTAGCCTGGGTAACAGAGTAAGACTTTTGTCTAAAAAACAAAAATAAAAACCAAATCAAGTAGGTTTTTCAGAAAGCCTTTTCGAAGGGAGATTAGATTAGTAAACAGATGCTTAGTAGCGGGCTAAATGATAGCAAAACTCTTTTGAATCAAAACTGACTCAGATTTAAAAAAACCTCTTAACATATTCTTTCCTTTCAGTGTAGTTAGGACTAAGTTATGTAGCAGTAGTAAACCTATCCTGTGGTATGTTTCTGTTAGGATTGGTTTGATAGCTGTATTATAATTATATTTTTTGTAGAATTAATTTATTAATGTATTGATTGATTAACCTAAGTCCTTTAGTAGTTTTCTTAAATTTTTCCTAATTTTTTTTCTATGCTAATTCTAATGTTAACATGCTCATTCGGGGTATGTTGCCATTTGTATCCTGACAGTGTATTAATGCTTATATTTGTAAGAGTAAAATATTTTATTTCTTATTACAGCGGAATGGCCAAAGACTATGACAGGTCTTCCCAGCACATCAGGGACAACTGCCAGTGTGGTCATCATACGGGGCATGAAGATGTATGTAGCTCACGTAGGTGACTCAGGGGTGGTTCTTGGAATTCAGGATGACCCAAAGGATGATTTTGTCAGAGCTGTGGAGGTGACACAGGACCATAAGCCAGAACTTCCCAAGGAAAGAGAACGAATCGAAGGACTTGGTGGGAGGTAACATTCTGTTGTTTTCTCTTTCCTCTCTGAGTTCTATTTAGTCCTTTTATGCTTTGCTAATGAAATTGACCTACTACTCTCCTTTTTATTCAAGTTACTTTCTTAGTGTTACAGGTTTTTTAGTTTGTCTGATGTAGTACCCATGTATGTGCATTCATATTTTTCTCATTATTGTGAATTGACTGTTCATTTCTGGTAATGACTCAAAGGAAATAATATTTCAGTGGGCCTCAAGGAACAATACAATACAAGTCTTTATTGAAACCTTTCACATAAATACTGATCAACATTATCTTCAGAATCTAGACAGAGCAGCTCTTGGAGTTCCAGAGTAGAATACTTTGAATCTGGCTGGGGTAAAAAGTTAAGTTAGAATTAACCTTCAGCTTTTTTCATTGATTTCAGATTTACAGCAGACCTTTCCAATTATTATTTTCTTTGTTTGGACTTAGTGTTTCAATGTGTAGGTAATTTGTAAACTAGGAACTGAAATTGATTTCAGTATTATATTTTTATGATTAAAACTTAAAGATTATTCTAAAAATCAAGAGAGTGAATAACATGAGAAGATTTTAAAATTATCTCAATACTAATGGTTAAAAATTGAGGGTATGAAGCAAGTTGAATAGAATCCAGTGATTTCTAAATAATCATTCTAAATAAAACCTTCCCGTAATATCATTACTTGCCTCCTCTTTTTTGCTTTTATTAAATCAAAATTGGCCTTTTGCAGAGAAATAACAAACTAAGGAAAATAATTAGCATCCTTAAACTATAAGGAGTTCAACAAATTAATAAAGTACTAAAGTGCATGGCACCCCTGGATAGGAGAGAAAATTTTAACAACACAAAAAATGCAAAACAGTATTAAACATTTGGAGGAAAAAAAGTTAAACATTAAAATGAAACTATTTCCTGTTATTAGATTAATAAAGATTAAAAAAACCAAAGAGATTCCTTCAGTGTTTTTGTTGAAATGGTTACACTGTTGGTCGGATTTATAAATTGGTACTACCTATATAGAAAATAAATATACCATTAGCTTTAAATGTTTATTAACAGTAATTTCAGGAATCTATTCTAAAGAAGAAATCTGAATTGTGGACAAAAATATCTGAATAGAGTTATTGATTGCATTATTTTTAATGACTGTAAAAGGCTGGAAGTAACTTGAAGGCCCAACAGCTAGAGAATGGTTAAGTATATTTAGCAAACATATTCATAATACTGAATGTGATACAGCCATTAAAAATGACAGTTATAGATAAGTTTATAAAACTCCTGGTGTTTTAAAATTTTTCCAAGTAAAGATAGACAGAGTAATATAAACTCCCATGTATATGGGGAATGTTTAATGATACAGAAAAATGCTTATGGTCACAAAAAAAGCAGGATATAAAATTACATTTCTAGGCCGGGCGCGGTGGCTCAAGCCTGTAATCCCAGCACTTTGGGAGGCCAAGGCGGGTGGATCACGAGGTCAAGAGATCGAGACCATCCTGG